TTCCTGGAAATACCATATTTTCATGATAGACAGAATGATAGCTATGTGGTTTCAAAAAGGTAATTTATGGCTAAGATGAAGTTTTTTCATTTTTAACAGAAATGAAGAAAGATACAAACATATGGATAAAACAGACACAGGCATAGACAGGCACATGTGTGTGTGTATGCGCACACACACACACACACAGAGCTCAAAGTTAATAATGTGTTTAAGCCTTCCAAATGTATTCTAAATGCTAAGAGTCCAGAACTATACACACACAGGGCAGGAAAAAAAAATCTTTTTAAATTTTAGAGACAACTCCACAGGAAACAAAAATCATCTATTATACTACAGCAATTAAGTGTGCATCAATAAATGTGGTGAGGAGATCACATAGGAATACAGTAAAAGAGACTTAAATTGAAAAAGGGAAAACATCCTCATCGAATACTATCAACTGTTATGTCTGTTTTGTTGGAAATAGCCATTAATAGTAACAACTGAGAACTAATGAATGATTTGGGGTTGAGGCTAAATCTTCATAAACATCTAGGATTTTTTCATTTGGATAATGCACTGATCAGTCAGGTCTGGGTTCAAATCCTATCTGACTTAAACGAAAGGCTCAAATATATTACACTAAGCAAATAATATGAATAAGAATAATAAACTGCAAAAGATAACCAAGGAAGACCATAAGTAGGTCTATAGATTTTATATCAGGAATAAGGTCAATGTAAAACATCAATACCCTTTATCTCTCCCAAAATATTCTACCTCTAGGACTTTACTCAAGTGGAATAATCATAGACGGGTATAAAAATGAGCTATAAGATAATCACTGTTGTATACAGGGGGAAAAAAATCCTGGAATATTACAGCATATCCCCAACAAATTATGATATATCCATAGAACAATATTATTCATTATTCAAAATATTATACATTATTCCATGACATGAAAAGTGGTTTGTGGGAGACCAATCTAGCTCGTGACTGGGTCCAACTCCCCTGCTGAATGGTATGGCATCCACGGGGTGGTCACTCTGCTGGACAGCCCTGGTCTTCTAAGGTTCCAGCGACTGTGTCTTGTGCAGGAGCTTGTCTCTCCACATCCCCAGGGATCCAATCACCTCACCTGTCCTTGTAACCCTGTCCCCCTTGACCTTCATTGGACGGGATTTCCTAAGAATTTAGATTCCCCTAATAAAAGCCCACTCCAAAGCGTGCTTGCTCTCTCGTCTGCCACTCCTGTAGTTCCTCACTCTCCCGTTTGGGCAGAGGAACCCTCCCGGATCTTGTTTTAAAAGTAAATTGTGTGTCTGTTTTATTTCTAACACCTTCGGAATTTTCCCTGAATGACCTTGAGTTAGCCATCTGTGCTGGACGCAAATGGCAGTGGTTCATCTTTACGTTAAAATTACAAAATGATATATAAAAGTGCCATTTTTAGAACTTATTTTTCTATATATGAATATGAATATATATGTGTATATATATACATATGTGTGTATAAATATATGTGTCTATAAAAAATGATAACAATAGTTATCTGTAGACATAATCTTTTTCTTTTCTTGTCTGGATTTTTTAAATTTTCTATAATGAACATTTGTCATTTTCACAAAAATAAAAAAGTGTTAGAGTTGAGAACAAAGATTTGAAATCTTACAATGGCAACTATATGCAAAATACAGAAATGAAAATGAGAAGTTACCAACATCATTACTACACCTTTATATGACAGCAAATTTACCCAATTTATTAAAAAATGGGAAGCCTTAAACCCAAAACCCACACGTACATTATTAAACAACTGGATAATGCAAGAGAAGGCAGAGCATTTGAAGAAATACTGAGTGGGAATAAGCTGAGAGAACTGAAGAACAGACCTCTGGTTAGTTCTGGATAGTGTAAAATTTTAGATAGCATCATGATTTATGCAGGTTTCATCAAAATGAAGCAGATAGACTGCTTTACATACAACCCAGAGGAAATGGAAAAAATAAGTTAAAATGATGAAAAGACTGTATTACATTACAAATACATATTTAGGCAAACATTCTTCCCTCTGTAAGGCAATAGGTGCTAGGCCTAGAATAGTCCCTCCCCCCAAAACTTCCTTTTGTCTATATCCTCCCAGGATCTAACAAGAGGAAAAAACTTAACAGCAGGCACCCTCAGCCAGAGATTCAGAACCCAATACCTGGCACAGAAATTAACCAGTTCTTAGGTAACTTTCAGTTGAAAACCTTTATTCTTATCCAGACATCAGACATCTTTAAAAACCTATGAATGATCTTTCTCAAAAACTACCTATATATTTATTTTTGTTTTTTAAAAACTGGGAGGAGGTGAGGACACCTCTCTTTGGAAGGAAACAATTATAATATAAAATTATGTCCCTTCTGCACTATCCTTTCCCAGGTTGATGCTTAGAAGTTTCCACATTAAAAAACATTGTCCAAAACAGTTTTCAAATGTTTTAATTGTACAGACTGAGTTAAGTCAATTGAGACAAAACTCCTAAAAAAGTATATAAAGCAAATGACTATAATGACAAACAAGGGTTTCAACTGAAAATTATCTAAGAATCAATTAATATATATGCTAAGTGTCTGAAATAGTATCTGGCTGGGGATGTTGTTAATCTAAATTGGGCCTGAGAGAATGTAATTTCTTTAGCATTATCACTCAAAGGAAATACTAATAACAATAGTGTTACTGTTAACTTCAATAGGTGACCACTCGCTTACCCTCTTAAGTGCAAATATATGCTCATTTGCCCAAGACCCCAGAGCCATGTTAAAATCCAAATTAATTCATTATGTTTATAATGAAAATGAATGTATATCCCAGTATATTAAACTAGTTTCATTCTTGAGCTTTCTAAATTGTCTGTCAAAAAACAAAAATGGGCAGAAATTAATTTGACCAATCCTGCCCATATTTACTGGCATAGAGGTAAAAAGCCATTTTGTCCTATGTGTCAAACTCAAAGACTGAAACAGCTTGCTGTCAGCCTCAGAAACCATTTTTTACAAGCATGGCACACTGCCTTTAGCCAACTAAACGCTAAAGCATGTTGGGCTTCCCACACTGCAAATTATGTGGAATTCTCTCCACATTTTGTGGTTGCAAAAGCACTGTTTTGTGGATCACACAGTTCAAATTAAGGGCACATCTGACCTTAAACGGAAAATTCCCATGAAACAAACTATAATTGACCAAGATCCCATCGGCCTTGAAAGTCTGTGATCTCAGGCTCATAATCAAACATCTCAAATGTTAGTTTTTTTGAAAGCTAAAGACATAGTAATGTCAACTCTTTTAAACTTCTTATTGTGTTTCATATGAATTCTAAAACCTCATCACAAATATGAATGTCATAACTGCAAAGAAAATGGGGAAGGGGTATGCCACCTGCTACAGTGGACATTTATAGCAAATATAAACACTTTTGGGGCAAAACCTAACAAATTAAGACAAAAACCAAAATTAGATGGATTATTCATCTAATTTCTAATTTTCATACATTTGCTGAAATGTAGTAGCTTCAACCAAGAAATGTGATTAAGAAATATTCCAAAGATGAGATAGTTTTCTTTACAGTGACTGCAGCATTGTATTATAGCATTAATGTAATACAAGCATTAATGCATTAATGGGTCACTCTCTGAAATCAAATGCTACTTAAGTCATGTTTAACAAAAAAAGTATCAGAACTTCCCCAAGATTTGCTTCTTATACTTTTGAGGTCTACTCTGTAAGTTCCAGACTTAGAGAATGAGTGCCTTCAAGGTCATTTCTGAAGTGCTAAAAGAATAAAACACTGTACTGTGAAGCAATTTTTTTCCTACAGATTCCTCTACTACAAATAAATTATTGAAGTTTAAGAAATGCCTACTTCAGTCATCTATGGTGGAGTAATTCAGTCCATTTTAACAGATAAATATATGCTTAAGATTATTATTATATGGTTCCTGGTCGAAGCTTTCTAAGAATTCCAGAAAAGTTAGAAAACAGCATTTTTAACATAAATTGACTAAAATGCTAAAAAGTTGACAAGCCTTAATAAAAACTATTTTTAGCTTCTCATCTTTAGACCTGCTAGTCGTTTATTTTTTATAACTTTGTTAATTTTTATTATTTTTAAATATGGTGCTGAGGATTGAATCCAGTGCTTCACATATGCAAGGCAAGCACTCTACCACTGAGCCACAACCCCAACCACTAGACCTGCTGTTCTTAGTACATATATATCATCATATCCCTGAATGGTTTTCACTGGGCTAGACAGACAAATATAGATGTAAGTGTGGTACAGTTATAAGACCTCTATCAGTCCATGCATGTGTGTATGTGTGTGTGTGTGTGTGTGTGTCTGCATGTGTTTACACAGATGTAGTTTCAAAAAGAACCATTCATGAAACAATCATCCCAAATAAAATAAACCTATACGAAATCTCAAGGAACTCACATTAATCAAGGAATTCTAGGAATTAAATCACATCCATCTTTGAACCCCAAATTCTTACCTTCTATCCTGAAGTCCTAATGGTACAACAGTAACTGAGTTAGGATTTTTAAGTCTGTGACTTTTCTAAGCAAATTTTTCTCCAAAAATGTTTAGTTGGCTGCAAATTTTGGAAAAATGTTTGAGAAATTGAGGGATTTTGTTTGTTTTTAAGTTTCAGTTCTGGTATATTCTACAGCAAAGTGACAAAATTATACTCAGAATCAAAAATCTATGTCCCATATAAAATTTTACAATATTAATGGTTATTTTAAGATGTTTTCTTTCAAAATTTCCCCATTGCAAAAAAAAAAGATATTTCCCTACAATATCCTCTACTTGGGTAGTATGTGTCTTTCACAAACAAAATTACATGTAAAGCATATATTTGAAAATTTTAGTACTTCATGACACTCTTTTCTTCAAATAACTTCTCCCATTTCATTTGTATTATTCAAAGTAATCTGGATGATGTAATCAATGTGCCACAAAATTTTACCTTTGCAGTACTTCACAAAATAAAGGTACTTTTCATCAGCACCTCTGATTTGCAGCTGACATCAGATGTACACACTGTTGAGTGGAAAAGACAAACAAGAACAGACTGAAGTGGCCAGAGGCATAGGGTGTGAGTATATAGGGTTTTCTTCACCCATGAGAAACACAGAAAAAGAAAACTTACCCCCTTGTGTAATAAATGTACCTATGTATTAGGTTTCATATTACATACCTCATCCATGGATAAAACTGTCTGAAACAACATCAAATTATGCAAGAAAAATCAGGTTTTATTTGCAGTTCTTAGAAATGTTACTCCTAAAATTAGTTGGATCCTTCTTAATCTAAGAATGAAAAACGAATTCATCAATAAACAAAGAAAATCCTATTCTTAAAGATATAGCTAAACCTCATCCTCTTACTGAAAAAAAACTTCATCATAGTACAGATATGCTGTATTTCATAAGTATCGAGGCTGAATATAAATATTTCATCAAAGACTAAAGGATCACTTTGAAAATTTGGGCCAGCCCTGGGGGGAAATTCTTTTTAAAGATGTTTTTGAAGGCTTTGTAAGTACTCTGAGATTCCAAGATATGTTTTCTTTAAGAAAAAAGGAAAAGAAAAATAATTTTTTTTTTTTTTAAGAGGGGAGTCAGAAGCAAAATCAGGGCGAGGCTGAAAACCTACCAAGGCTAAAGACACATAGCTCCTCTGCAAGCTTAACCGCATGCTAAGAGGGAACCTCTTGGAACTGTTGGAGCTCGCAAGGAGCCTTCCACCTGGGCAAACAAGGAGAATTTCGGCCAAGAGCGGCGAGACCACATTGTAAAAAGTTCAAGAGGAGTAGATCCCCTTCCTTTGGCTCGCAGCACTTCGCTTCTGGAGCCGGCGGCCCGGCAGGGAGCAGCTGGCACCAGGTGCCGGTCTGCAGCCACCCGCTTCCTAGAAGGCCTAACTGCTCCGGCCGGTAGGGGACCCGGCTCGGAGGCTTCGGGAGGCGAGCAGGCACCCGCAGGAACCGTGTCCCCGCCAGTTCCCTGTGTGTGGCGCTGGCTGCTGCAATGACTCCAGTCCAGCTGCAAAAATCTTACCGCAAACCCAAGCTGCTCTGGCACAACTTCAGTCTCAGCAGCCTCAATTCCCCCGCGCCCTCCGCCACACCGCACACCGTCCCCACCCGGAGGGTCATAGCACGCCCCGCCCCGCCCCTGGCGGCTACCTGTCCCGGGGCCGAGGACCCCAGGCTCACCTCATCCAAAGGGCAGCGCGCGGGAGCCTCAGGAAGAGCCCGGGGAGCATGGCCTCATCCAGTTCCTCCAGGAACTTTCCTGACATAGCACTTCTCTCCTCCGCTGCTGAGAACAGGGCTTCCAGGCAGAGGAGGAGGACAACGATGAGGAGGCGGAGGTGGCTGTAAAGGCGGCGGTGGCGGCGGGAGCTGGAGCAGAAAGTGAGGAGCATCGCCGACAGGAGCCTCCGCCTCGCGATCTGCCGTGGGGTTCCCGCCCCCAGGGTAACCAAAGCTCCCTCTTAAAGGCGCCGGCCCCGTTTTTGGCCCGGAGGTGGGGGGGGCGGTGGGGGGGGTGTGGGTGGGAGGGAGGAAAGGCGAACAGAGAAGGAGTCTAATAAAGAGGGGGGATGCTAGTAGAGACGGAGAGATACTGGGAAGCCACCGCCCCGGCTGTGCCCGGGCTGATCGCTGGCCCTTTTTGGCTCTTTCTCCTCCAGCCTCACTGGTGTCCCACATCTGGTCGCCCCTCCTAGGCAAAAGGCACCAAGGCTATGGCAAGTGCTTGGACCCCCGTGCGGAGCCACCCCAACGGCTGGCCTGCAACCCGCTACAGTTCATGGAACCTTTCCTTGTTCCTAACTGCGCACACTCCTATTAGGGTTTTTGACTCCCGCCCCCACCGCGGCACCACCCTTCCCCCGCTCCCCAAAAGTAGGCGAACCCAGCCTGCGACTGCCCAGTGGAATTTTATTTCCCAAGGCTGCTTACCTTTCCCCCTGGTTATTCTTTCTTCTCTGCAAACACTGTAATGAGGGTTTCACCTAAGAAGGAGCGCAGGAAAATGAAGACTAGCTGGGGGCCCTACACAGATCTTTGAAGGTGTTGCTGACGTGTGCCCTGCCTGAGAGACTTGCCAAGTGCCCTCCTTTACCCCATAGTAAATGACCACTTCCTAAGCGAACTTCAACTGGATCTCTAGAACCATTGACTTCCATGAAGGAAGACTGGCTGCAAAGATCGCCAAATTGAACTCCAGGAGGTCACCCCAGAAAGATCCTGCCTTAAGATGTAAATGATGCTGCATGTGAAATGCAGTTATTAAGTTACACATGATATTGGTTTTCCAGGTACCTTCGTTTGTGATAACTATTGAGACCACAGCAGAGTGGGGATATCCAGGGGACTCACAATATCAGCAGCTATCACCACCCAACAGTAGCCCCAGGGTGTGAGTAGCAGAGGGTCTGCCATTGTCCACTGGCTTGCTTTGCTACCTCATTGCTTCTTAGTACTGTGGGCCCTCAGCAGAGTGTGGTACAACACTATGCATTTGCATTCTTCACTATGTCTTCTGAGTAGTGGACAGGTTATTTGGGGTTAAGGTACAGGCTAGGCTCCAAAGCACTGCTTCTAGCACAGGACTGAGAAGAAATGGTATTTTCTAATTCACACAAAAACACTTACAGGCCTGAAACACTTTCAGGCCATCACAGGCCTGAAACTAGACCTCAACATCTTAGTTCTTCCCCTTCTGCCACCTATAGCTGTGAAGAAGTGCTTATGCTGAAATAGAGGGAAGAAGGCAGAAAGAAAATATGCAAAATTGAAAGAAACTTCTGTTACCAGATAGAGAAGAAGTAAACTCTGGGCTCTATAAAAGCAGAAGACAGGAAAGGAGGTTAACAGTAAGCAAGATTGAAGATATCCTGATTTTATGATAAATGCCTGTATAGTATGGATAATTGGATGTGACAGGCACCCACCTCAAACTGACTTAAGAAAACCTACAACAGAAGTGGCTGAAATTCACTGGCTCATATTTTCATAAATCCTAAAAGTACAGCACCTTTTCTATTTTTCCTCCAGATGCCCAAAGACTATCAGAGTTCAGTTTCTCTCCCTATCTTAGCTGTGCTTTGATTATACTTGTTCTATTTTCTCTAAGCAAGATAAGATCTGCAGCCCCAGGCTTACCTCCAACTGCCTTGGCAACTGATCCAATCAGGAAGAGAGCAGACAAAGAATCTCTCTCCTGGAAACTAACCATTGTAACCATGAAGTGGAATGCACACTGACTGAAGTCATTTGCCTATGTTAGATGAACATCAAGTGAAATAGCTTAGTGTCCCATTATCCATATACAACCAAACTAGATAAACTGAGTAGAAAGTAAGAGGTTTTCCCAAAGGAAAATTAAAGTGTCATTAGCAAAGAAGGGGAATGAATATTGAGTAGATAAAAACCATAGATGCCCCCCATTCCCCAATACCCAACTGACTACCTATCTATCCCTTTTAGCAGTAGTCTAAAGATTGAAATGACAAGCATACCAATAGTCACGGAGTTGCAAGTAATTTAACCAGCCAACCATATCCTTTGACTTCAGGAGCCACTAGGAGGTCCTCAGTGATACTGAAAACATTCTTGCAAATAAACAATATGCAAGGTATACTTGTATTTGGTAATGTTTCCCTTTAAATTATGATAACAGTGGTGGTGCCTGCTTAGCATGTGTGAGGCACTGGGTTCAATTCTCAGCACCACATACAAATAAATAAAATAAAGGCCCATCAATAACTAAAAAATATTTTTAAAAAATTAGGATTACTCCACCAACATACATCCCAAACCTAAGGCCAAATCCATTGTTAGGCCTTATGTCATTGTAAACAATTCAACTAGATGAGTACATAAAAATTCCTTATTACAAGGAATTTGTTACAAACAATTCCTTATATTCATTCTACTTGAAAAAAAATATGACCCATAAATAATCTCATGTCAGTATCCAAGTGCCACAGGGTCCAATTTCATTTAAACAATTCAATAACTTCTTTTCAGAGATAGGATAAAAGAATTTATATTTTGGCCTACCAAAAAAATGCCAATTTCTACTTTTTTCCTCCCACTCAAGAAACTTTCTTGTAGATGCTAATCAAAAGAGTTTTATATTTTCTTCCTTAATTTGTAAGTTTTATAGAATTTCTTACATATCATATAAAACAGACATAAACCTGCAAGAGGCTTTAGAATAATCTAAAGGGAATCTTCAGTAATAAAGGAATGAAAGTTCAAAAGTTGGCTTGTGTTGAGCTGTCTTTAGCATCTGTAGAGTGCCTGCCTTGAAGCATACAGAAGCAAAAACATAGAATATGGTCATTATCCTCAAAGAGATTAAATTTAGTCAAGGAGACATAACCATCAAAGACATAAAACAACTACGGAGCATAACAATACACCATATAATTTAGTATAAAAATGTGTGATGAAATCTCACATTAAAAATAGGTATGAGAACCCTGTTTCATAAATATATGAGATTTAAGACTATCCTTTGATTTTTGCTAGTACAGCTAACCCATGTACATATGTAATTATTGTTACTATACACTATGAGTTCTAAATTGTACTGTAAAAGTTACATTTAGCTAAATGTAAAGATTAAGGTGAAACACTTTACTAAATTGGTGTTATCCAAACTAAGATTATCTGTAGCAATAGTCTGGGATTTGTATGGAATAACAAGTTTGTTTGGTATTTATTCATGTCATTTGATGTTTTATAGCTAGATTTGATAACCTGATGTGAATAAGTTATGTATACAATTTTGTGTTACTCTTCACACTGGTATTGGAATTTAAATGTATTTTTGAAAGGTAATAAGGAGAGCCTTATCTGTTTTAAGGCAACATTGTAAAACACGAAAGCATTTTGCCACTTTTTCCACATACAAAAAAATTAAAAGCTCCCTTAGCCTTTGGGGAGCGGGGGAAGTAGACATGAGAGGGGCTGGGGTTGTGGCTCAGAGATAGAGAGCTCCCCTACCACGTGTGAGGCCCTGGGTTTGATCCTCAGCACCACATAAAAATAAATAAAATAAAAGTATTGTGTGCAACTACAACTAAAAAATAAATAATAATTTAAAAAATAGGCATCAGAGTAAGAGACCTTATGGACTTGAGTATTCTTGGAAACACTTTTTAGCAGGGAGGAAACTTAATAGCCTTTGGGGGGAAAAGCAGAGATAAAAGGAAGGGGCTTTCCAAGTGATAAAACAAAGTGAGAAGGCATTGAAGGGAAAAGATACTGACATTTATTGGAACATAAAGAAAACCTAGACTGTCATGTCAAGATTGTCATGGTTTAGAAAAATATTTCAGACAAAGTAATGAAATGATTTTAGAGGATATTACCATTATTGTCTGTTGTTGTTGATCATTTTTGTTTTTGTTTTCAGTGCTGGGGTTCCAACTCAGGACCTCATGCATACTAGGCAAGTATTCTACACTGAGCTACTCCCCAGTTCCAGCCACTAATGTTTCAATTAAAATAAAATATCAGAATGTGTTCTACTTAATAGATTAAGAAATATTTGTTAGGCCAGGCATGGTGGAACACACCTGTAATCCCAGCAGCTCAGGAGGCTGAGGCAGGAAAATTGCAAGTTCAAAGTCAGCCTCAGCAATTTAGAGACCCTGTCTCTAAATAAAATATAAAAAAGGATTGGAATGTGGCTCA